GTCTGGGCTAAACAATAATTCCAAGCTATTTTGCTAATAGTTCATTTTCATTTCCCTGATAAGTCTGAATCCTCAAGATTAAGCCAATTAATCCCTTACTCACATTTATGACGGTTGCCCGTCGTGTGTGTGTGTGTGAGAGATGTGATCCGCTTTTGCGACAAGCCAAATCAACGGGGGGGGGGGAGCCAATTTCACTTAACAACCGGGTTTGTAATTGACCAACTGCAGGAGTTCATTTAGCAAACCCGGCCAGATAAGTCGTAAAACGGGGCAGAAAAATTCATGTCTCACTTAGCCAGCTGAATTCTGGGCTCAACTGTGGTCGTTGAGGAGCACCTGTCTTCCGGGGGGGGGGGGGCTTACTAAGGCTTTGTAAAGCAGTACTAACTGCTTCTCTTCCTCCTCCTTTCCAGCTTCATGGCTGAATCCGACCAGGAGAAGGAGCTGTGGGTGGAGGCCATGCAGCAATCGGTGGCCGAGGCCCTTTCCAACTTCGAGGTGGCCGAGAGGATCTGGGCCTTGAAGGACAACTGCCTCTGTGCTGACTGTGGTGCTCCCAAGCCCGACTGGGGCTCCATCAACCTCTGCGTGGTCATCTGCAAGCGATGTGCAGGTAGGCGCACCAGCTGGGCGAAAGGGTGGGAGAGGCCACCTTGGTGGGGGCATCTGAGATGATCCAGAGAGGTGAAGGAGTTGAATTTCTCCTCCTCTGCCTGGACTTCACTATGGTCCAGCCTTGTCCAAAGCTCCCTAATCTTGTATTCCACCATGTTGAGATTCTAGAAAGAGGGCAGAGAAGAGCAACAGGGAGGGAGCCACCAGGGCGAAGGTCCTTCTTCTTGATCCCACCAGATGGACCTCAAGAGAGAGGGCCATAACACTTCCAATCTTATCTCCATAACGATGATGTTCCACAAGGAGGGAGCCACCAGGGAGAAGGTCCTTCTTCTTGATCCCACCAGATGGACTTCTCAAGAGAAAGGGCCATAACACTTCCAATCCTATCTCCATAACGATGATGTTCTACAAGGAGGGAGCCACCAAGGAGAAGATCCTTCTTCTTGATCCCACCAGATGGACCTCAAGAGAGAGAGGGCCATAACACTTCCAGTCTTATCTCCATAACGATGATGTTCCACAAGGAGGGGGCCACCAGGGAGAAGGTCCTTCTTCTTGATCCCACCAGATGGACCTTCTCAAGAGAAAGGCCATAACACTTCCAATCTTATCTCCATAACGATGATGTCCAAAAGGAGGGAGCCACCAAGGAGAAGATCCTCCTTCTTGATCCCACCAGATGCACCTTCTCAAGAGAGAGGGCCATAACACTTCCAATCTTATCTCCATAACGATGATGTTCCACAAGGAGGGAGCCACCAAGGAGAAGGCAACCGATGGACCTCCTTAACCAGGAGGGACTCATAACATCTCCTACCTCCCTGCTTTGGTGGCTCAGGGAGTGATGACTGGAAAACGATGGTCCTTCAAATAACAGGGAAGGAGCCACCACGGAGAAGACCCTACTTCTTGGTCCCACCTCCTTTGAGGGGAATTTACCTTGTTAATTAGAGGGTTAAGAGGCTGAGATAAGGGGAATCTGGGTTATTAGATTTAAAATAGTGGGAAATTAGTGGGAAATAAGGCTCTGATTTGTATAATATTGAAAGATTAGGATTGAAAGGGAAATAAAAGTTAACTATCAGAAATATGCTTGACTTATTGATTAACCCAGGCAATATGTATGGTGGCTGTGATCTACTAAAAGGGGATGTTTTATTATTAACCGGAAAATTTAGTATGGTGGGAAACAGGAAATCTTTAGGAAATAGAATACGATTACATTTAAACAGGCAAAAGGTGTACTTTGGATATTATAGTTTTTTAGGAGGAAATAAGGGAAATCATGGATTTTAAAGGTGGATTGGAATACTGGTGAGAATTGAAAAATTAAGTAAAAATGAATAACAGGCCATGGACCGTTATGCCCAGATTAATTAAAATACGCATCGGCTAAAAATGTATTGGCAAATGTAACCACGATGTTTTTATTGAGTTGATTTAATTAGAAATGCACTAGCTGGATTAAGGGGAAAAGAGAAGAAAGATTTGATGAGGATAGAATCAAGATCACGTGAAGGGTTAATACCACTTTACAAGGCCTTGGTAAGGCCACACTTGGAATACTGCATCCAGTTTTGGTCACCACGATGTAAAAAAGATGAGATTCTAGAAAGAGTGCAGAGAAGAGCAACAAAGATGATCAGGGGACTGGAGGCTAAATCATATGAAGAACTGTTGCTGGAATTGGGGATGTCTAGTTTAAGGAAGAGAAGGACAAGGGGGGACATGATAGCAGTCTTCCAGTATCTCAGGGGCTGCCATAAAGAAGAGGCAGTCAAGCTGTTCTCCAAAGTGCCTGAAGGCAGGACAAGAAGCAACGGATGGAAACTCACCAAGAAGAGAAGCAACTTAGAACTAAGGAGAAACTTCCTGACAGTGAGAACAATTAACCAGTGGAACCACCTGCCTCCAGAAGCGGTGAATGCTCCAACACTGGAAGTTCTTAAGAAGAGACTGGAGAGCCATTTGTCTGAAATGGTACTATAGGGTTTCCTGCCTGAGCAGGGGGTTGGACTAGATGACCTCCAAGGTCCCTTCCAACTTTACTATTATGGATCATCGCACAGTCAGCCAGATGTTCAGACTGGATTTGGCATTTTGTCTACCTATCGAGTCCTTACCCAGGACCTGGGATAGGCAGATGTGGATGTTTGATGGTATTACAGATCTCGTCGCAGGATGGAAGCGGTTCCTAGTAAGGCCACCTTACTTACTATAGGGTTTCCTGCCTGAGTAGGGGGTTAGACTAGATGACCTCCAAGGTCCCTTCCAACTTTACTATTATTATTATTAACCTGAGATCAGTACTAAACTTGATGTTATTGAGTTCTTGTTGGACCCTGCCACCACCACGTTGCTTTTCAAATACTTCAATGTAAAATTGGAAAACCAATGAAATATTATAAAAAGGGCCTCACGGACCATTTTGTCCCTCACCGTGGGGCCTGCCCAATCAACTTCCCTGTGGAAATCGGCCCAGGGAGGAACTGGCTGCTTCCGACCTTGTTAAGGGAAACTGAGTCAGCCTCGCTCCTTCCCATTCTCTAACCTTCTGACCGGACCCCCCACCCCCCCAGGAGAGCATCGAGGGCTGGGACCCAGCGTGACCAAAGTGCGGAGTCTGAAGATGGACAAGAAGGTCTGGACAGAGGAGCTGATTGAGGTACTGGTCAGTTGAGTGACGTCTTTCCGAGTCTCTCTGGGGGCTGGACCCATCTTCTCTCTCGGGGCAAGGGGGCGCCTGGGGGGAGCCAGGTGCAGCGGGGGGGGGGGGGAATGATGCGGCAAGACCTGGACTCTGCCTGTCCTGAAGGCTTCGGGGGCAAGCAGGGTGGTAAACTGAGGCAAGGGAGTCAGTTTGGTCTTCTAGTGATTAAAGGCACCCGGCTAGAAAGCGAAAAACGGTGAGTTCTAGTCCCGCCTTGGGCGTGAAAGAGAACGGGGTGACTTTGGGCCAATCAACAGGAGATGGAGAGTTCTAGTCCTGCCTTAGGCATGAAAGCCAGCTGGGTGACTTTGGGCCAATCACTAGGAGACAGTGAGTTCTAGTCCCACCTTAGCCATGAAAGAAAACTGGGTGACTTTGGGCCAATCACCAGGAGACGGTGAGTTCTAGTCCTGCCTTAGGCATGAAAGAGAACTGGGTGACTTTGGGCCAATCACCAGGAGACGGTGAGTTCTAGTCCTGCCTTAGGCATGAAAGAGAACTGGGTGACTTTGGGCCAATCACCAGGAGATGGAGAGTTCTAGTCCCGCCTTAGGCTTGAAAGCCAGCTGGGTGACTTTGGGTCAGCCCCTCTCTCTCTCAGCCCAACCCACCTCACAGGACTGTTGTTGTTGTTGTGGGGAAAACGGGTGGGAGGTCCATCTCTGCACACCAAGACGTTTCCACTTCCTTGAGAGAAGGGGCTGCTTCTGATCCTCGCGATGGGCAGACGCAGCCACGGAGGGGCAGCACTTTCCCAAAATGGCTGCTGTGTAAACAGCAGGAGGGATAGAAATGGCAGCCGGCATCAGACGGGGCTCTGGCGATGTTGGGCAAGGCATAGGAAGAGCCCGGTGGGCCGAGGCGCAGGTGAAAGCCGGGCCACGAAGAGCCCGAGTGGAGAGTCCGGACGATCCACGGCCTTTTTCTCCCCTTCTTGCCTTCTCAGCTCTTCCTCCAGATCGGCAACACGGTGGCCAACCAGTTCTGGGCCGCCAACGTGCCCCCCAGCGAAATGATCGCCCCCGAGAGCCACAGCCAGCAACGCCGGCATTTCCTGATCGCCAAGTACCGGGAGGGCAAATACCGGCGGTACCACCCGCTTTTTGGGAACCAGGAAGAACTCAACAAGGTGGGTGGCTGGACGGCAGGCGGGGTGATCCCAGTTTGGGCGCCTGGCAACTGGCGTGTACTTGCGACGGTTGCAGCGTCCCCGGGATCGTGTGATCCTCTTTTGGGACCTCCCGCCAAGCACAGTCAACGGGGGGAGCCTGATCCACTTAAGGACCGTGTTGCTAAATTAACAAGTGCAGTGATCCGCTTAACAACGGTGGCGAGACCGTAGAATGGGGCAAAATTCAGATAACCACCATCTTGCGTAGCAGTGGAAATGTTGGATGAAGTTGTGCTTATAATCTACGACCGCCTGTAAGGGAACCATTCTTAGATGGGGGGAGGGAGGGAGGAAGAAAGGAAGGAAGGAAGGGGAGAGGGAGGGAAGGAAGGAAGGAAAAAGAATGAAAGAAAGAAAGAAAAAGGAAGGAAAGAAGAGAAAGAAAGAAAAAAGAAAGAAAGGGAATAAGGGAGGGAGGAAGGAAGGAAGGAGAGAGGGAGGGAAGGAAGGAAGGAAAAAGAAGGAAAGAGAAAAAAAGGAAGGAAGGAAAAACAAAGAAAAGAGAAAGAAAAGGGAAGGAGGGAGGGAGGAAGAAAGGAGAGGGAGGGAAGGAAGGAAAAGAAAGAAAGAAAGAAAAGAAGGAAAAGGGAATGAGGGAGGGAGGGAGAAAGGAGGGAGGGAAGGAAGGAAAAAGAATGAAAGAAAGAATGAGAAAGAAAGGAAGGAAAGAAAGAAAGAAGGGAAGGAGGGAGGAAGGAAGGAAAAAGAATGAAAGAAAGAAAAAGAAAAAATAAGGAAAGAGAAAAAAGAAAGGAAGGAAAGAAAGTAAAAGAAAGGAAGGAAGAAGGAAAGAAAGAAATAGGAGGAAAAAGAAAAAGAAAAAGAAGAAGGAAGGAAGGAAAAAGAAGAGAAAGAGAAAGGAAAGAGCAAAAGAAAAAGAAAGGGAGAGATGGAGAGATGGAGGAACAAAAAGAGAAAGGAAAAACAGAAAAAGAAAAGGAAGGAAAGAAAGAAAGAAGAGAAAGAGAAAAGAAGAAAGGGAGGGAAGGAGGAACAAAAAAAGAAAGGAGAGAAAGAAAGAAAGAAAGAAAGAAAGAAAGAAAGAAAGAAAGAAAGAAAGAAAGAGAAAGAAAAAAGAAAGGATTCTATGATTGCTTCCATAAATGCTGGAGGGGACCTGATCTTGCTCTTTGCAAAAGAGGAACAAAACTGGTCTGGGAAGTGGGTGGGTGGGGACCCCCCCCCCGGTGGGGACCCCCCCCCCAAAAAAAACCCCGGCTCTTGCGGAGAGAAAACATCCTTTTCTCAAATTCCTTCTCCTCCTTTTTTGTTGACCCAACCAGTTTGGCAGGAAATTGGAAGAAAAGGCAATTTACACACACACACACACACACACACACACACACACACACACACACACACACACCCCGATTGTGGGCTGGCCCCAGATGGGCGAGCCCTTTGTTCAACCTTCCAGAAACAACAGCTCTGAAAAGGCCTGCCTAAAAATTAACCCGCTCCAGCCAGACAAAAAAACAAAAAACCCTCCCCATCGGTCAGCTGTGCCCCCCCCAGCAGCCTCAGGACTCGAACTCGGCCCCCCTGACTGGCAAAACGCTCCCCGGGGCTAGGATCCGAGAAGAGGCAGGTGGGGAGAGAAGCAAAGGAAGGCGTGTGGAGGGACAACAACGGCCTGGGCGAGGCAGGAGGCTGCAGTGGCTAAGAAAGCAGCTGCAGTTAAACTGAGGACTAGAAACTTGAAGGCGGCAGGGACACGCTTCGGGGCTAAGCTGGATCCGAAAAGAGAGGGGACGTTTTGGACCCACCACACCTGCCCCAATTTTTGGGGGGGGGGAGAAGGCTGACGCTCCAGAGCCTCGGAGGCGGCTCGTTTGGGGGTGGGCGTGCTCCCCCTCGGGGGTCCCAATCCAGAAGGGCAGCAGACAGACCCCCGGTTGGGCGTTCCCCCCCTCCAGCGGAGGAACTCTCTCTCCAGAAGCATCCTGGGGTCCCCAGGGCGAGGGTGGAAAAATTTGGCTCCGGGTTTATCCGAGGCCCGGCCAATCCGGAGGAAGGACCGGCTCCTGGCTGCCTCCTCCAGATGTTTGTCAGCATCTGCGCTCCGGCAGAACTGGGACCGGCTTTGCCGGATCGTCGCCCTTCGGCCTCTCTCTCCCCGCCCTCTGCTCTGCTGACCGATGCAGAAGCCGCCGAGCCTGCGGCTCCACCTCGCTCCTGGGTCCAGCTGGCCTCCTGCTGGGGTAGGGGGCTGGACTAGAGGATCTCCAAGGTCCCCTCCCACTCTTGTTATTCTGGATTCTCTCCCCTGGCTGCTGCCCGGCTTAACGCGTGGTGCCCCCTTCCCTAGATCTTAGATTCCTGGTCTGAAAGGTGACATCTTCTCCCCTCCCTCTGCCCCCCCCGTCCTCCCCCCCCAGGCCCTCTGCACAGCAGTGACCACCAGTGACCTGGCCGAGACCCTCTCCCTGCTTTTCTGTGGGGCCGAAGTGAATTGCTACACCGGAGATCCTGAATATCCCACCCCGGTTGCCCTGGCAGAGCAAGCTGGTCAGAGGCTGCAGATGGAGTTTCTGCTGCAGAACAAGACCTCCGGTAAGGGGAGGGGGCTGCGAATGGGAAAGAAGGGGGGCTGGAGGGAGGAGGGGGCGAATACCCCTCCTTAAGGGCAGGCAAAGACTTGGCCTCGTGGCACGTCCAGCCAATGGACTACGGGGTCTTCCTGACCCCTGGATGGGCGGTTGGGCCCCAAGGGGCTTGGGGTGGGTCGGTGGGCTTTTCTGTGCTCAAGGAGTGGGGGGGGGTTGCCTGTTTTTTTTGGGGGGGGTCCTTTCAGGGCTCCGTCTTAGCTGAAGAGGAAGGCGAGGAGCAGGGGAGAAGAGCAGAGCCAGTCCTGAGCCTTCTGCACGTTAACCGTGGCCGATTGCGCAGCCAGCCAGATGTTCCGAGTGGATTTGGCATTTTGGCCCCCCTCTCGAGGGCTTCCCACAATCCCTGGGATGGGCAGATGGGGGTGGTTGGTGGGCTTTTAAGGGTTTAGAGCTCCTCCGAGTAAGTCAAACGGCCTCTTGCAATTGACCGGTGGTGAATTTGTCAATGCCGATGGGTTTCGAGGGCTGCTCCAGATGTTTGGGGATTGCACCCAAGGTGTCTGTTATTATTAGGGCAGTTTGCACAGTCAGCCAGATGTTCGGACTAGATTTGAATATTTGTATACACCCATTGATTCCTTCCCAAGGACCCTGGGATGGGTAGATCTGGATGTTTGACCGGATTAAAGGTCTCGTCAGGATGTCAGCCGTTCTAAATCAAGCTGCCTTCTGCAATTGTCCGAAGGGGATTTTGTCAAGGCCCAGGGTTATTATTATGGTTTGTTGCAGAGTCAGCCAGATATTCAGACTAGATTTGATATTTGTATACACCCATTGATTCCTTCCCAAGGACTCTGGAATAGGCAGATCTGGATGTTTGACGGTATTAAAGGTCTCGTCAGGATGTCAGCCGTTCTAAATCAAGCTGCCTTCTGCAATTGACCGAAGGGGATTTTGTCAAGGCCCAGGGTTATTATTATGGTTTGTTGCAGAGTCAGCCAGATGTTCAGACTAGATTTGACATTTGTATACACCCACTGATTCATTCCCAAGGACCTGGGATGGGCAGATCTGGATGTTTGACGGTATTAAAAGTCTCATCAGGATGTCAGCCGTTCTAAATCAAGCTGCCTTCTGCAATTGACCGATGGGGATTTTGTCAAGGCCCAGAGTTGTTATTATTATGGTTCATCGCAGAGTCAGCCTGGATTTGGCATTTGTGTCCATTTGTCCAGTCCTTCTCAAGGACCTGGGATAGGAAGGTGTGGTTGTTTGATGGTCTTAACAGCATCACAGCTCTTCTGAGCAAAGTTGCTCTTTGCAGTTGACCAACAGGTGGTTATCTCAATGCCGATGGGGTTCAGATGGTGCTCCAGATGATTGGCACGGCCGCCCATCTCGTCCAGGGGATGCTCAATGCCTCCCAGTTGGTGGAAACAACATCCAATAAAAACAACTTTAAAAACCCCCAATATTCAGCCATATAAAAACTATCTTTTCTCAAATAAAAATACAGCTAGTCCTCAACTTTCACCACGGTCTGTTTGTTGTGGGACACACAGGAATCTGGAGAAGATGCCCCCCCCCTTAAGCAGTGAGGGAAGAGGTGAGGGGTGAGTAGGGGCACCAGCTTGTAAGTGCAAAAGAAGGGAAGTGCCCTCAAAACAAATGCTGTTGAAACAGAATGGACATCAAAGAGTGACTTTACAATTAGTCCTTGACTTATGACCACAGTTCATTCATTGATTTATTGATTCATTGATCGATTGATTCATTGATTGATTGATTGATTCTTTGATTGATTGATTCTTTGATTGATTGATTCATGATTCATTGATTCATTCATTTATTAATTCATGATTCATTGATTTTTCATTTATTAATTCATTTATTGATTGATTCATTTATTAATTCATTGACATGATTCATTGATTCATTTATTGATTGATTCATTTATTGATTGATTCATTCATTCATTCATTCACTCATTCATTGATTCTATCAGAGCTTGCATACTCTTATTGCGCAAGATAACCCAGGAGTAAACACAGTACACCGTGGTCTATGTTAAATGATGGTTTATCTTACACTATCTATAATATCATACACCAGGAACAATATACATACACATGCTAATGCAGCAGGATCCAACAAACCACAGTTACAGCAGGAAAACGGAAGCAAGAGCACACTTCAGCAGAACCTTCCTTTTATACAAAGGCTCTTAAAGAGACACAGACCCCGCTGAGTCATTCCCATCATTACATCTTAATATTACATAAGCTGGTTAGCTGTTAACTCATGACCTTGACCGATTCATTGATTCATTTAATTTCTGTGGCCACTTGTGGACTTCAACTCCCAGAATTCCTGAGTCAGCATGGGGGAACTATGGCCCCTTCATGACTTGCGGACTTCAACTCCCAGAATTCCTGAGTCAGCATGGGGGAACTATGGCCCCTTCATGACTTGCGGACTTCAACTCCCAGAATTCCTCAGCCAGCATGGGGGAACTTTGGCTCCTTCATGACTCCTGGACTTCAACTCCCAGAATTCCTCAGCCAGCATGGCTCAGCTTGGAAACCTCTCCCTTTCCCCTCAGCATGGCTGGCTCAGGAATTCTGGGAGTTGAAGTCCAGGAGTCATAAAAGAGCCAAGGTTGCCTACCCTTGTCTTAGGACATAAATCAAGGACTAACAACATCCCAACAATTTTAAGTGTGCACGTGGGAAGGTGCCCAAGGACACAGCCCTTGCTTTTCCCCTGTAGAGTCTTCGCGCTCGGAGATCCATGCGGGAAAGGCGAGAACAAGCATCAGTTCTCAGAAGGAAGAGATCAAGTGGGTCTCCAATCCAGCAGGGCTCTAGAAGTGGCAAAGAGATTTTCTGCTGGGAGGGTTTTTTTCAACTTCACAGGCTGGTCTACAGTCCTGGGATCTCCCGGTGGTCTCCCATCCAACGATTAACCGGGCTCAAGTGGCTTCCTGATCAGCCGAGCTCAGAGCAAGATTCGAAAGGAAGGCAAAGTTCTCTCTTGAGCCCAGCTCAATTCTTGCGGGGGGGGGGGCTGCTTGGCAGGGTTTTTTTTACTCGTGAAATCCACCCTTGATCTGCATCAATCCCCAAGGGGAGCAGCAACTAAGCAAGGGTGGGTTTTGTGGGTAAAAAAAAAACTGGCCGAGCAGCCCCAGGAATTGAGCGGGACTCAGGAGAGACCTTTGCCTTCCTTTCGAATCTTGCAGGGTCTGTGTCCCTTTAAGAGCCAACTGGGTCTGTGTCCCTTTAAGAGCCAGCAGGGTCTGTGTCCCTTTAAGAGCGTTTGTATAAAAGGGAGAGCTCCGCTGATCAGGATGCTTGCCTGACGCCCCAGAAGACAAGCTCAGGTTTTAAAAAGGCCTTGACAAGACTCGAACAAGGGGCCCTGTCCCAACAGCATGAAATTTAAGGTGGAGAAAAGCAAAGTTTTACACCTAGGCAGGGCAAAACCCAAAGGTGCAAGTGCAGATTGGGCGAGACCTGGCTCAAAAACAGCCACTGTGAGAGGGACCTTGGAGTTCTAGTGGGCGATCCCTTGACCGTGAGCCAGCTGTGTGCAGCAGCAGGCAAAAAAGCTAACACAATCCTGGGTTGCATAAACAGAGGCATAGAATCAAGAACACGCAAAGTATTAGTACCGCTTTATAAAACCCTAGTAAGGCCACACCTGGAATACTGCAGCCAATTTTGGTCACCATACTACAAAAAAGAGGTTGAGACCTTGGAAAAAGTTCAGAGAAGAGCAACGAAGATGATCCAAGGCCTGGAGACTAAAACATACAAAGAACGGCTGCAGGACTTGGGTTTGGCTAGTCTAAAAAAAAAGAAGAAATAGGGGAGACATGATAGCAGTCTTCTAGTATTTGAGGGGCTGCCACAAGGAAGAGGGGGTCAACTTATTCTCCAAAGCACCAAAGAGAAGAAGCAACGGATGGAAACTAATCAAGGAGAGGTTCAACCTAGAACTAAGGAGAAATTTCCTGACAGTGAGGACAATTAGCCAGTGGAACTACCTGCCTCCAGAAGTTGTGGGAGCTCCATCACTGGGTCAACCACTCGTCTCAAATGGTATCGGGTCTCCTGCAAGAGCAAGGGGTTGGGCTAGAAGACCCCCAAAGTCCCTTCCAGCCTTATTCTAATTGATTCATTGGTTGGATGGATGGGAGACCACCAGAAGATCCTAAGGCTATAAACCAGCCTGTGAATTTGAAAAACATGCTCAGGAAAAAAAAACCCAGCAGGATTGGAGACCATCCTTATCTCTCCTTTCCGAGAACTGACACGTTCCCTCCTTTCCTGCGTGGATCTCTGACCGCAGAAACATGGAAAGGAAAGAATGCAGGGTGTGTAAAGCTTTTCCTGGCAAATCCAGGAGGAATTTCCAGCAGTGAATGATGGATTGTTGTGGGGTATTTTGTGAGTCACTCAAATGCAACAGCTGGTTCCTTCAGCTTCCTGGCAAGGAATGAGATCCACCAAGAGGTAAAGAAATTTGTGCAGAGGTGTGACAAGGAAGGGGTTGGGGTCCTTATGAAGCAGAAGATTCCCCCCCCCCAAATAACAGGCAACCCCCAGCTTCTCAGCTCCTCCTTCAACCCCTTCAGGTCAAAAGCAGGAATTTGAATCCCTGCAGAAGCCAGAAAACTCCTGGCTGGGCTCAGTTTGTTGGTGGCTGATTGATTGATTTGATTTGACTTGATTCCTATGTCCGGTCATCTCAGCAAACAACTCTGGGCCACTCACAATTCAAAGCATACATTACAATTAAAATCTCAATAAAAATAGTAAAAATAGGTGAGATGGTATAAATTCTCCTGCTTGAGTAGTGGGGGCTGGACTAGAAGACCTCCAAGGTCCCTTCCAGCTCTATTCTATTCTATTCTATTCTATTCTATTCTATTCTATTCTATTCTATTCTATTCTATTCTATTCTATTCCATTCCATTCTGTATTTCTATTCTATTCTATTCTATTCTATTCTATTCTATTCTATTCTATTCTATTCTGTATTTCTATTCTATTCCATTCTGTATTTCTGTTCTGTTCTATTCGATTCGATTCGATTCGATTCTATTCTGTATTTCTATTCTGCTCTGTTCTTTTCTGTTCTATTCTATGTTCTATGTTATTCCATTCCATTTCTATTCTATTCTATTCTATTCTGTTCTATTCTATTCTATTCTGTTCTATTCTATTCTTTTCAAAGCTGTTATAAAACAATAAACGCATTAAAACATCAGTTCCTGCAGAAAAACCCCTCCCCCCGCCATCCCTTGGCCTGTTCAAAAGCCCCCCATCCCTTTTATTTCCAGGGATATTGGAAGGATTAAGGGGGCCAAATCTCCCTTCCAAAGAAGAAGGGCGGCAACCGTTGATCGGAGAGACAGACTGAAAAACCAGACGTGCTTTTGAAGGGGGGAAACCTGGCGGGGTGTTTTGTTAGTAGAACATCTGGTTTTCATTGTTCCCCCCCCCCCCCAGCCCTTGGGATGTTGAATTTGGCTGCCCGGCCTTAGAAAAAATATAAAAGCAGGAACAGCCTTCCCTGGACTGGGAAGCAATCTGACCCTGCGCCTGATCGTCTGAGGCAGGGGTCTCCAAGGTGGGCCACTTTGAGACTTGTGGACTTCAACTCCCAGAATTCCCCAGCCAGCCATGCTTTCCTCCCTCCCTCACTTTTTTTCTTCCCTCCCTCCCTTCCTTCCTTCTTTCCCTCCCTCCCTTCATTCCTTGTTTCATCCCTCCATCCCTTCTCTCCTTCCTTCCTTCTTTCCTCCCTCCCTCCCTTCCCTTGCCATCCCTTCCCATCCCATCCATCCTATCACTCCCTCTCTCCATCCATGGTGGCTGGGGAATTCTGGGACTTTGAAGTCCACAAATGGAACCACCTGCCTCCAGAATCTGTGAATGCTCCAACACTGGAAGTTTTTAAGAAGAGACTGGACAGCCATTTGTCCGAAATGATCTAGGGTTTCCTGCCTGAGCAGGGGGCTGGACTAGATGACCTCCAAGGTCCCCTCCCAACCCTGTTATTCTGCTATTCCTTCCTTCCTTCCTTCCTTCCTTCCTTCCTTCTGCATCACTGGAAGTTTTTAAGAAGAGACTGGACAGCCATTTGTCTGAAATGGTCTAGGGTTTCCTGACTAAGCAGGGGGTTGGACTAGATGACCTTCAAGGAACCTCCCAACTCTGTTATTCTGCTATTCCTTCCTTCCTTCCTTCCTTCCTTCCTTCCTTCCTTCCTTCCTTCCTTCCTTCCTTCCTTCTCCAACACTGGAGGTTTTTAAGAAGAGACTGGACAGCCATTTGTCTGAAATGGTCTAGGATTTCCTGCCTGAGCAGGGGGTTGGGCTAGATGACCCCAAGGCCCCTTCCAACTTTATTATTATTATTATTAAGTCTTAAAGTGGCCCAGCTTGGAGACCCCTGCCTTGGATGGTGGCTGGGGAATTCTGGGAGTTGAAGTCCGCAAGTCTTAACATGAGTTTCCTCCTGCCCAGTCTCCCCCCCCCCCCCGGCCACTCTTTTGCTATGTCTTGTCTTTTCAGAGCCCCCCCAGCTGGACGCTGGCCCCCACGCTGAGCAGTGCTACTCGGTCATCTCGCTCTCCGTGGCCCACAATGGCTTCCTCTACAAGGCGCCCTCCATGGCCAAGCTCGCCCTCGAGCGGAAATCCCGAGAAGGTCAGACGAAGCCCAGGGGGGGTGGGAGGGGGGGGAGTGAGGGGGGGGGCTTTTCAAGGGTTGTTTGCCTGAACAAAGTCCAGGAACAGAAAGAGAAGAGATTTACACACACACACACACACACACACACACACACACACACACACCCGCTTCCCTGCAGTTTTCGGCTTTCCATACTCTAGTTTGATTCCATTCCGTTGCTTCTCTCCCTTCCTTCTCCCCTCCTTCCCACCCTCTCTCCTTGATTTTACCTCCCTCCCTCCTTTCTCTTATCTCCCTCCCTCTCTCTGTTTCCTTCCTTCCTTCCTCCCTCCCTCCCCCAGCTCTCTCTCCCTCCCTTCTTCCCTCCCTCTCCTTCCCTTCCTTCCTTCTCCCTCCCTCCCTTCCTTGTTTCATCCCTCCATCCCATCTCTCTTTCCTTCTTTCCTCCCTCCCTCCCTTCTTTTCCTTCCTTCCTCCTTTCCCTCCCTCCCTCCCTCCCTTCCTTTCTTCTATCCCTCCTTCCTTCCCCCTTGGTTCCCTTCCTCATTCTCCCTCCCTCCGTTTCCTCCCTCTATTGCTCCTTCCTTCCTTCCTTCCTTCACTGATAATGTTCCCTAGTTGGGTCATGAAACGTCCGCACCGAGCTCAGAGAGCATCAAGGACCCCACAGTCCTTCCTTCCTTCCTTCCTTCCTTCCTTCCTTCCTTCCTTCCTTCCTTCCTTCCTTCCTTCCTTCCTTCCTTCCTTCCTTCCCTCCTCCTCCTCCTCCTCCTCCTCCTCCTCCCTTCCAGCACTGATGATGTTACCTAGCTGGGTCATGAAAGGTCTGCAAGGAAACCACCCAGCTCAGAGAGCACCAAGGACCCCACAGTCTGTCTTTCCTTCCTTCCTTCCTTCCTTCCTTCCTTCCTTCCTTCCTTCCTTCCTTCCTTCCTTCCTTCCTTCCCTTTCCTCCCTCTATTCCTCCTTCCTTCCTTTCTATTCCTCCTTCCTTTCCTTCCTTCCTTCCTTCCTTCTATCCCTCCTTCCCTCCCCCTCGGTTCCCTTCCTCATTCTCCCTCCCTCCCTTTCCTCCCTCTATTCCTCCTTCCTTCCTTCCTTCCTTCCTTCTTCCCTTCCTCCCTTCCATCCCATCCCATCACTCCCTATCCATCCATCCATCCATTTATACTTCATAAAAGAGCTAAGTCAGACTCTTTCTGACTCTGAGCTACCAGGACAAAGAGCTCTCATCCCCTCCCTCCCTCCGTCTCTTCCTCCCTCCTTCCCTTCTCACTGCCCCATTCCTAGTGAATGCAAAGTGGACTTTAGCCCCGTCTGTCCGGCTGCAAAGCCAGTTCAAAGGGAGGCTGGGATGCTTGGGATTACGGGAGCGGAGGACCCCCCCCCCTCTTCTGGGTCCACCAGGCCTCGCTCTGCCCTGACCCCTTTCCCAAATCCAGAAGCTTCATTGCAGCTGCGTCGGAAAGGGGCCCTTCTTCCTTTTGTGGCCCCAGACATTTCCCCCCCCACCCCAGAGGCAGCCCTCCCCAGGGTAACAAGATGAGAGCAGGAACCCCAGGCCCCTCCTGCCTGCCCCGGCTTTGCCTTCTCCTCCACTGACACCCCCTCTCCCCCATGGGTTTCTCCCCCCCCCCCAGAATTCAGCCGCCGGTGGTGCCAGTTGCACGAGGGGCTCTTCAACTACTACGAGAGCAACACCAACACCGTCCCCAACGGAGAGGTCAAGATGCAGGAGATCGTCTGTCTCGCAATCCCCCCACCGGACACACACGGGTGAGCCATTCCTTTCACCTAGGAAAAGGGGGAGGCCGCCTTTTGGACTTCAACTCCCAGAATTCCTCAGCCAGCCTGGCTCAGCTTGGAAACCTCTCCTTTCCCCTCAGCGTGGCTGGCACAGGAATGCTGGGAGTTGAAGTCCGCCAGTCATGAAGGGGCCATAGTTCCCCCATGCTGGCTGAGGAATTCTGGGAGTTGAAGTCCATGAGTCATGAGGGGGCCATATTTCCCCCATGCTAGCTGAGGAATTCTGGGAGTTGAAGTCCATGAGTCATGAGGGGGCCATAGTTCTCCCATGCTGGCTGAGGAATTCTGGGAGTTGAAGTCCACAAGTCATGAAGGGGCCATAGTTCCCCCATGCTGGCTCAGGAATCTGGGAGTTGAAGTCCGCCAGTCATGAAGGGGCCATAGTTCCCCCATGCTGGCTGAGGAATTCTGGGAGTTGAAGTCCATGAGTCATGAGGGGGCCATATTTCCCCCATGCTAGCTGAGGAATTCTGGGAGTTGAAGTCCATGAGTCATGAGGAGGCCATAGTTCTCCCATGCTGGCTGAGGAATTCTGGGAGTTGAAGTCCACAAGTCATGAAGGGGCCATAGTTCCCCCATGTTGGCTCAGGAATTCTGGGAGTTGAAGTCCACGAGTCATGAAGGGGCCATAATTCCCCCATGCTGGCTCAGGAATTCTGGGAGTTGAAGTCTGCGAGTCATGAGGGGGCCATAGTTCCCTCATGCTGGCTGAGGAATTCTGGGGGTTGAAGTCCACGAGTCATGAAGGGAGCCATAGTTCCCCCATGCTGGCTGAGGAATTCTGGGAGTTGAAGTCCACAAGTCATGAAGGGGCCATAGTTCCCACATGCTGGCTCAGGAATTCTGGGTGTTGAAGTCCGCGAGTCATAAAAGAGCCCAGGTTGCCTACCCCTGTCCTAGAAAAAGGGACTGCGGGTTGCATAATGCAGGCAGTCCTCCACTTAATGACCGCATTGGAGCCCATAATTGCCATTGGTAATCCAGAGAGTCGTTAAGGGAATTTCGCCCCATTTCACAATCTTCCTTGCCACCGTTGCTAAGTGAATCCCTGCAGTTGTTAAGTTAGTCGTCTGGTCGTTAAGCGAATCCGGCTTCCCCCTCTTGACTTTGCTGGTCAGAAGGTCGCCAAAGGGGATCACGTGACACCCCCCCCAGGGATCACGTAAATACAAGTCAGCTGCCAAGCATCCGAATTTGAGTCACGGGGATGCTGCCATGGTCGTAAGGGTGAAAAACGGTCGTAAGTCCCTTTTTCAAAGCTGTTGTAACTTTGAATGGTCACTAAAAGAATGGTTCTAAGTTGAGAATGGAAAGGCAAGGAAACTCATGGGATGACCGGACCGGAAGGGAAGGAAGGGGCTGGGCTGGGCCAAAGTCCTTGGGGGGGGTCTCTAGGGAGGGCGTGGCATCTTGGAAAGTAATAATAATAATAGTAGTAAAGTTGGAAGGGACCTTGGAGGTCATCTAGTCCAACCCCCTGCTCAGTCAGGAAATCCTACACCATTTTGGACCAATGGCTGTCCAGTCTCTTCTTAAAAACTTCCAGTGTGGGAGCATTTACTGCTTCTGGAGTCTTCCTGATGGTTTGTTAAGGGGGTTAAGTTGCAGGTCTGGCCCCCGAGAAGCCCCCCCCCCCCGTGTGGGAAGGGGGTCCCAGACCTTCAGCCAGCCCTCTCCCTATCGGGAGAAGTGGGGAGGGACCACTGGGGTCCAGGGTTCCTGCTCTCCTCTCGTTACCCTGGGGAGGGCTGACTCTGGAGGAGAGAACAGTTGGGGGCAAGGCTGGGGGCAAACTGCTGGCTTAGGGTTAGGGTCCCTCCCTTGCTGGGAAATTTTGGATCCGAGCCTTGGGAGGTTTTGACAGGCAGGGCTGCGTCTTGACCTGTCCATAGGGCACCCCCGTCGCTAGAAGGGAATTGTGTAGCTCAGGGTGGACTGTGGGGTCCCTGGTGCCCTCTGAGCTGGGTGGGTTTCTTGCAGACGTTTCATGACCCAACTAGGTAACGTCATCAGGGCTAGAAGGGAGGAAGGCTTGTGGAGAGGAGGACAACTGTGGGCTCCTTGCTTCTCTCTGATCTGTGTTGTTTTCTTGAAGACGTTTCATGACCCAACTAGGGAACATCATCAGTGCTAGAAGGAAGAGGGGTTTGTGGAGAGGAAGAAGAGGAGGAGGAAGACTGTGGGGTCCTTACTGTTCTCTAAGCTGGGTGGGTTTCTTGCAGACGTTTCATGACCCAACTGTCTAACGTCACCAGTGCTCGAAGGGAGCAGGATTTGAGGGGGGAGGAGGAGGAAGACGACGACGACAACGACAACGACGACTGTGGGGTCCTGGGTGTTGTCTAACCTGGGTGGTTTTCTTGCAGACCTTTCATGACCCAACTAGGGAGCGTGATCAGTGTGAAGGAGGGTGGGGTCTGCTCTCTGCCTATATACCCTTGCTTGCCCTAGCTGTGTTGGTGGGGGTGTGGTTTTCTCTGTCATTCCTTGATTAGAGTACTGTTTTCTGCTGGATTGTTTGTCTGGTGTTAATCCCTGCTTATTTGGCTGCTGGAGAGGAAGCGGTCTGATCTTTTTATTTATTTATTTTTATTTATTTATGAGACTTACATACCGCTTTAAGTGCAAGCACTCTCTAAGCGGTGTACACCAGTAAGCAATGTATATATATATTTACATTGCCCCCAACAATCTGGGTCCTCAGTTTACCTACCCCGGAAGGATGGAAGGCTGAGTCAACCTTGAGCCGGTGAGATTTGAACCGCTGACCTGCTGAACACAGTCAGTTAAAGTGGCCTGCAGTACTGCACTCTTAACTGCTGCGCCACCTCGGCTCTTTTTTGTTTCCTTTCTAGCTTTGAATAGTATGTAAATGTAGATTATGAGACCCCCTGAGCATGATGACGTTCCCTAGCTGGGTCGTGAAACGTCTGCCAGAAAACCGCCCAGCTCAGAGAGCACCCGGGACCCCAGACCCCCCTCTTTTCTCAGAGAATCGCTCTTACTCTTGCTTTGCTCTTCTCCTTCTTGACTCTTCCCGCCTCTCCTTCCAGGTACGCCAACACCTTTGAGTTGTACACGGAGACGGAGAGGCTCTACCTCTTTGGCCTGGACAACCCCAAGGCCATCCGGGAGTGGGTCAAGTGCCTGGCAAAGGTGAGGCGCCCTCCTAGGGGAGCCCCCCCCCTCCGGAAAGAGTTGGGGAGAGACGGAGGGAGGGAGGGGAGATGAGGAAGGGAATCGAGGGGGAGGGAAGGAGGGATAGAAAGGAAGGAAGGAAGAAGGAAGGAAGAAGGAAGGAAGGAAGGAAGGAGGAATAGAGGGAGGAAAGGGAAGGAAGGAAGGAAGAAGGAAGGAAGGAGGAATAGAGGGAGGAAAGGGAGGGAGGGAGAATGAGGAAGGGAACCAAGGAGGAGGGAAGGAGGGATAGAAGGAAGGGAGGGAGGAAGGAAGGAAGGAAGGAAGGAAGGAAGGAAGGAAGGAGGGAAGGAAGGAGGAATAGAGGGAGGAAAGGGAGGGAGGGAGAAAGATTGAGGAAGGGAATGGAGGGAAGGAGGGGAGGGAAGGAGGAATAGAAGGAAGGAAGGAAGGAAAAGGGAGGGAGGGAGGGAGAAAGATTGAGGAAGGGAATGGAAGAAGAGGGAAGAAGAGGGAGAATAGAGAGAGGGAGGGAGAAAGATTGAGGAATGGAGGGAAGAGGGAGGGAAGGAGGGATAGAAGAAAGGAAGGAAGGAAAGAAAGAGAGGGAAGGGAGGGAGAGAGGGAGGGGGAAAGATTGAGGAAGGGAATGGAGGGGAAGGGAAGGATGGAAGGAAAGAAAGACAAGAGGGAGGGAAGGAAGGAGAGAAGAGAGGAATAGAGGGAGGGAGGGGAGGGTGAAAGATGGAGGAAGGGAATGGAGGGATAGGAAGTAAAGGAAGGAAGGAAAAGAGGGAGGGAGAAACATTGAGGAAGGGAATGGAGGGGAAGGGAAGGAGGGATAGAAGGAAGGAGGTATAGAAGGAAGGAGGGAGGGAGGGAGGGAGGGAGGGAGGGAAGGGAAGAGCTGGGTGTTGACCCTTAGTGACCGCATCCACACTGCTTCCAAAGGTGGAAGAGGGAAGGGGTGGGGAGACGCCGCCTTTCTCGGCCCCTCACCCCCCCCGTGTCTCCCTCCCTCCCTCCCTGCAGGCCTCCATCCCTCCCGCGGCCGAAGGTCTCCTGGGCTGGGACTTCGAGCGCCTGGGGCGCCTGCGCTACAAGGGCGGCCTGAGCCTGGAGCAGGCGCAGGAGGGCTGGTTCGCCCTGGTGGGCTCCAGCCTCTACGCCTTCCTGGAGGGCAGCGGCCGGGAGGAGCTCATCCAGCTGCGGAAGCTGCAGGAGCTCTGTGAGTCGAGGGGCAACCGCTGGCCAGCTGCCTCCGAGGCCGAACATCTGGCCCCACGGTCTCTGGACCCTGGCCTCATGGAACAACCGCGGGACTGTCGGCCCCTCGGACCGCCCGGAGGTCACGGGTGGCTCAGGCCCCGGGTGGACGGGAATCTGCGGTGGCCTGGGGGGAGGGGGCGCTGGGCCAGCTCACGGGGGGCTTCTAGCCTGCTCGGCCATGGTTCCACTCCGGAGGCCTCCAAATGGGGCAACTTTAAGGCTTATGGACTTCAACTCCCAGAATTCCCCAGCCAGCTTAGATAGCTGGTTGGGGAATTCTGGGAGCTGAAGTCCAAAGTTTGGAGGCCCCAGATCTACTCTATCAAGTGACCTGCAATTGCGCCCAGAAAGCAAATGTATTTATTTCTCCGTTCTCTCTCTCTCTCTCTCTCTCTATCTATCTATCTATCTATCTATCTATCTATCTATCTATCTATCTATCTATCTATCCTATCTTCATCCATCCATCCATATTCACCCATCTATCTGTCTATCCGTCTGTCTATCTATCCATCCATCCATCTATATTCTATATCCATCCATCCATTCATTATCTATATCTGTCTGTCTGTCTGTCTGTCTCTCTGTCTGTCTGTCTGTCTCTCTCTCTCTATCTATCTATCTATCCATCCATCCATCTATGTCCTATATCCATCCATCCATCTTCATCCATCCGTCCATCCCTCCGTCTATCTGTCTGTCTATTTATCTATCTATATCTATCTATCTATCTATCTATCTATCTATCTATCTATCTATCTATATCCTATATCCATCCATCTTCATCCATCTATCTGTCTGTCTGTCTGTCTCTCTCTCTCTCTGTCTATCTGCCTGTCTGTCTGTCTATCTGTCTATCCATCCATCCATCTATATCCTATATCCATCCATCCATCTTCATCCATCTGTCTGTCTGTCTCTGTCTATCTATCTATCTATCTATCTATCTATCTATCTATCTATCTATCTATCTATCTATCTATCCATCCATCCATCCATCCATCCATCTTCATCCATCTATCTATCTGTCTGTCTATCTATCTCCATCCATCCATCCATCCATCTTCATCCATCTATCTGTCTATCTATCTATCTCCATCCATCCATCCATCCATCCATCCATCCATCCATCCATCTATATCCTATATCCATCCATCCATCCATCCATCCATCCATCCAATCTAATCTACTCTAAACTATTTTATTTGGGACTTTCGGAATTATCACAGCGCGGATACAATTCTCTTTTTGAAATTCCGAAAGAATGGCTCGCTTTTTCTATCTTTCTTCTGTTTTTTGACACCAAGACGCCAGTGCGAATCTGCCCGTTGCTCTTTTGGCCTGGGTTCAGATCCTTCCCTGGACCAATTCGTCAACCTCACTGTGTTGATGGACCTGCCGAGGTGGCCGCAGCCCTAAACATCTGTCTCCTCCCCCTTGATCCCTTCCAGATGTGTTAGGTGACCGTTCCAGTCCTCCCCAAACAGTTGGGGCCATTCCCCCCTCTGCCTGGGAAGGATGGGAGTTGTAGTCAAAACCCCTTGGGACAGACAGAATCCAGGGAGGCTGCTGTAAACAGAGCGGAGAAGGAATCCCCTTTGAACTCCATGGGATCTGCCTCCAAGGGGATCTGTGGGATCTGGCAGGCCGAATAATAAGGAGCTTAATTAACGTGCGGATCTCTACATCAATTCTTATTTTTGCTTTTCAGCCCTCGAGAACGACGTCCTCGTGCTGGTGGAAAGAAGAAGGTGAGATATTTCCAGGGACCATGCAGGCAGTCCTCCACTTACGACCGTCCCTTTAGGGACTGTTCGAAGTTGCCATAGTGCTGAAAACATGGACCTAAAACCAGTCCTCGCACTTGTAACCGAGGCAGCCTCCCTGCGGGGCCCGGGGCGACTGGCCTGTATTTATGACGGCTGCGGGGTCCCGGGTTCGAGGGATCCCCTTTGGCGACCTTCCCAGCCGTCGTCCGACAAGCAAAGTCAGTGTGTGTGTGTGTGGGGGAACTGGATTCGCTTAATGACCGATTCACCCAGCACGGCGGAAAGATGGTGAAATTGGCTGCGGCTCACTTAATGGCTGCCTCGCTTAGCAACGGAAGTTCCAGCCCTGATTGTGGTCGTAAGTAATGCCTCCTCCTCCTCCTCCTTCCAGAACCCTCTACATCCAGGGCGAGAGGCGGCTGGCCTTCCAGGGCTGGGTGGGGGCCATCCAGAGAGCAGCTGGCAGCTCCGGGGACACTTTGTCGGAACAGCAACTGACCGACATGGATGTGCCCGTCATTGTGGACAGGTGCATCGATTACATCACACAGTGCGGTAAGCGGGGGGGGGGAGTTGCCTTGGGAGGGAGGGAGGGAGGACCCCCCCAATTCTTTCCTTCCTTCCTTCCTTCCTTCCTTCCTTCCTTCCTTCCTTCCTTCCTTCCTTCCCCTTCCCTCTTCCCTTTCCCCCCCCTCTCTCTTCCTTTCTTCATTCCCTCCATTTCTCTCTTTTCCTCTTCCTCTTTTTTCTCTCTTTGTCTCTGTTACTCTTATTTCCTCTTTCTTTTTCTCTTTCTCTCTCCCTTCCTTCCTTCCTTCTTTCCTTCCCCTTCTCTCTTCCCTCTCCCTCTCTCTCTCTCTTCCTTTCTTCATTCCCTCCATTTCTCTCTTTTCCTCTTCCTCTTTTTTCTCTCTTTGTCTCTGTTACTCTTATTTCCTCTTTCTTTTTCCCTTCCTTCCTTCCTTCCTTCCTTCCTTCCTTCCTTCCTTCCTTATTTCCTTCCCCTTCTCTCTCTCCCTCTCTCTTTCTCTCTCTCTTCCTTTCTTCATTCCCTCCATTTCTCTTTTCCTCTTCCTCTTTTTTCTCTCTTTGTCTCTGTTACTCTTATTTCCTCTTTCTTTTTCTCTTCCTTCCTTCCTTCCTTCCTTCCTTCCTTCCTTCCTTCCTTCCTTCCTTCCCCTTCTCTCTCTCTCCTCTCTCTTTCTTCCTCTCTCTTCCTTTCTTCATTCCCTCCATTTCTCTTTTCCTCTCCCTCTTTTTTCTTCTTTGTCTCTCTGTTACTCTTTTTCCTCTTTCTTTCTTTCTTTCTTCCTTTCTTTCTTTCTTTCTTTCTTTCTTTCTTTCTTCCTCTTTCTTTCTCTTTTTTCTTTCTTTCTTCATTCTTTCCTTCCTTCCTTCCTTCTTTCCTTCCCCTTCTCTCTCTCTTTCTCTCTTCCTTTCTTCATTCCCTCCATTTCTCTTTTCCTCTCCCTCTTTTTTCTCTCTTTGTCTCTCTGTTACTCTTATTTCCTTCCTTTCTTCCTTCCTTCCTTTCTTTCTTTCTTTCTTTCTTTCTTCTTTTTTTCTTTTGTTCTTTCTTCCTTTCTTCCTTCCTTCCCCTTCTCTCTCTCCCTCTCTCTTTCTCTCTCTCTTCCTTTCTTCATTCCCTCCATTTCTGTTTTCCTCTCCCTCTTTCTCTCTCTCTTTGTCTCTCTGTTACTCTTATTTCCCCTTCCTTCCTTCCTTCCTTCCTTCCTTCCTTCCTTCCTTCCTTCCTTCCTTCCTTCCTTCCCCATCTTGCTATCCAAAGCAACTTATCTTGCAATAAAAACACAAGTATCAAAACAATTAGGAATCTAGGAATAATTTAAAATCACCAGAATCCAATATGGGGAGTCCTTGAGTTAAACAACCGTAACCGAGCCGGTCCTTAGGGTCGTGAGTTGGGCCAGACACAAAGTGGTCCATCACGGGACCAGATCCAACCTGATGACGGGGTGATGGACCGTGTCGAGCTCTGCAGGTCCTTCACCCCCCTTCTCCTCCTCCCCCAGGACTGACCTCGGAGGGCATCTACCGGAAGAGCGGACAAAACTCCAAGATCACCAGCCTGCTGGAGTCCCTCCGCCGAGACGCCCGCAAGGTCCGGCTGAAGGAGGAGGATCACCAGCTGGACGATGTGGCCAACACCCTCAAGAGGTTCTTCCGGGACCTGGAGGACGGGCTCTTCACCAAGGACTCTGCCCAGGCCTGGCTGAAAGTGCCAGGTAAAGGAGGTGCGGAGGTGGGGGGCACACCCAGATCCCCCCCTTTCCTGAAGTGCTCGGCCTGCAGTAGGAGAGAATCCCTGGAGCTCAGAGCTGAACTGGGGGGGGGGGAATCCTGGGTGCTCTCTGAGCTGCGTGGTTTTCTTGCAGATGTTTCATGACCCAACTAGGGAATGTCATCAGTGCTAGAAGGGAGGGAGGGAGGGAGGAAGAAAAGAAAGAAAGAAAGAAAGAAAGAAAGAAAGAAAGAAAGAAAGAAAGAAAGAAAGAAAGGAAGGAAGAAAGAAAGACACACTGTGGGGTCCTTGGTGCTCTCTAAGCTTGGTGGGTTTTCTTGCAGACGTTTCGTGACCCAACTAGGGAACATCATCAGTGGTAGAAGGGAGAAGGAAGGAAGGAAGGAAGGAAGGAAAGAAAGAAAGAAAAAAGAGAAAGAAAGAAAGAAAGAAAGAAAGAAAGAAAGAAAGAAAGAAAGAAAGAAAGAAAGAAAGAAAGACTATGGGATCCTTGGGGCTCTCTGAGCTGGGTGGTTTTCTTGCAGACGTTTCATGGCCCAACTAGGGAACCTCATCAGTGCTAGAAGGGGGGAGGAAGGAAGGAAGGAAGGAAGGAAAGAAAGAAACAAAGAAACAAAGAAAAAGAAAGACAGACAGACAGACTATGGGGTCGTTTGTGCCCTCTGAGCTGGGTGCTTTTCTTGCAGACGTTTCGTGACCCAACTAGGGAACATCATCAGTGGTAGAAGGGAGAAGGAAGGAGGGAAGGAAACAATGAAAGAAGGAAAGGGAAAGAAAGAAAGAAAGAAAGAAAGAAAGAAAGAAAGAAAGAAAGAAAGAAAGAAAAACAGACTATGGGGTCCTTGGTGCTCTCTGAGCTGGGTGCTTTTCTTGCAGACGTTTCATGACCCAACTAGGGAACGTCATCAGTGCTAGAAGGGTGGGGGGGGGGTGCAGAGACGAGGAGGTGGAGGACTGTGGGGTCCTCAATGCTCTTTGAGCTCCGCTTTCTTGCTGACTTTTTATCACCCAGCTAGGGAATGTCATCAGTGCTAGGATGGAGTTGAGGTAGAGGAGCAGGAGGACTGCGGGGTCCTCAATGCTCTCTGAGCTTAGTGGTTTTCCTCCAGACTTCATTCATTCAACCAATGAGAATGATCCATGCTGGAAGGGAGGGGGTTTGCAAAAAGCAGGAGGAAGAGAAGGAGAAGAACTGAGGGCTCTTTGGTGCTTAACTGAGCTCGGATGTTTCCTTGCAGACGTTTCATGACCCAGCTAGGGAACGTCATCAGGGCCCAGGGATTCTGTCTCAGGACAGCCTTCAGAAACGCTTTCCCTGAAAACGGGGGTAGCTTCGCATTTCTGAAAAGTGGACCAGGAGCCGTGCAACACGGGACACGGTTCGTCCCTCACTTACAACCATCGATTTAGCCAATGTTCGAAGTTGCACTGGCCCTGAAGAATGTGGGGCTTAGGACCAGTCCTCATCCTTACGACCCTTGCAGCCTCCCCAGGGTCACGTGATCCGAACTCAGGCCCTTGGCAACAACCCGGCCTGTGTTTTACGACGGCTGCAGCGTCCTGGGGTCCACCTGATCGTCTTTTGCGACCTTCCTAGCCAGCTTCCAGCCCACAAGGGAGGAAGCCAGGGTCGCTTAACGACTGGGTGATTCCCTTGACAAAATCGGACGTGATTCATTTAGCGACTGCCTTAGCAACGGCGATTTTGATGGTTGTAAGTCAAGGATCCGCTGCAGTGTCCCTCTGGCGCCACCTGCTGGTTCACCCTTCAGCGCCCTACGGTGAAAAATGCAGAATTTTCAAGGATATAAAAAACAAAAGAGATAGGCAGTCCTCGAATTTACGACGGTTCACTTAGTGACCGCTCAAAGTTGAAGTGGCACCGGAAAAAAGCAACTTACAACCGTTTTTCACCCTTACGACGGTCGCAGCCTCCCCGCGGTCACGGGATCAAAATTCGGACGCTGGGCAACTGGCATGTACTTAATGGTGGTTGCAGTGTCCCCGGGGGATCACGTCATCCCCTTTTGCGACCTTCTGATTCACTTAACGACTGTGTCGCTCGCTTAACAACTGCAGCGATCCCCTTAGCAGCGGTAGGAAGAAAGGTTGCAAAACGGGGTGAAATCCATGTAACGGTCTTGCTTAGCGACGGAAATGTTGGGCTTCGTTTCGGTCGTAAGAGGAGGACTCCCTGTGAGGGATTGGGCATCCAGGCCCCACCCATCACTGCACCTGCATGAGCCCACCTTGGTCTCCTGGCTGGTTCTTCTGACCAAGTGGACTTTGGTGAGGTGGGCGCCCGTAAAGTATCTCTGATGCAGGAGGGATATTATGGGGCCACTATGTACAGGTAGAGTATAAGTGGCACCTTGCTCAATAGTAGCAACTGGGAGAGGGACCTCGGAGTCCTAGTGGACAATCCCTTAAATAGGAGCCAGCTGTGTGCTGCAGCTGCCAAAAAGGCCAACACAGTGTTGGGCTGCATTAACAGAGGGATAGAATCAAGATCATGTGAAGTGCTAATATCACTTTACAAGGCCTTGGTAAGGCCACACTTGGAATACTGCATCCAGTTTTGGTCACCACGATGTAAAAAAGATGTCGAGACTCTGGAAAGAGTACAGAGAAGAGCAACAAGGATGATCAGAGGACTGGAGGCTAAAACATACAAGGAACAGTTGCTGGAATTGGATATGTCTAGTTTAATGAAGAGAAGGACGAGGGGGGACAGGATAGCAGCGTTCCAGTATCTCAGGGGCTGCCCCAAAGAAGAGGGAGTCAAGCTATTCCCCAAAGCGCCTGAAGGCAGGACAAGAAGCAACGGATGGAAACTCACCAAGGAGAGAAGCAACCTAGAACTAAGGAGAAACTTCCTGACAGTGAGAACAATTAACCAGTGGAACAACCTGCCTCCAGAAGTGGTGAATGCTCCAACACTGGAGTTTTTGAGAAGACACTGGACAGCCATTTGTCTGAAATGGGATAGGGTTTCCTGCCTGAGCAGGGGGTTGGACTAGATGACCTCCAAAGTCCCTTCCAACTTTATCATTATTATTATTTGTAAGGTGACTCTGTCTTGTTCACTGTCTTGTGCTTTTCTTGGCAGCTTTGGAGGACCTTGCTGAAAGGATCAGCCGCTACCGTAGACTTCTCAACAGCCTCCCGGTGGTCAACAAAGCCACCATGAAGGCCTTGATCAACCATCTCTACCGGTGAGTGGTGACCTGAGATGGGAAATTGAAGAGTCCCTCTCTCCTGGGTGGAAAGGTCTGGACAGCCCTTGGTTTTTACTGCTTGGCTCCTACTTCTGGATTCAGAAGGTTAGAATCCCAGGGCTGGAAGGCCTTAAGAGGTCTTCTAGTCCAACCCCTGTCCAGGGTAGGAATCCTCAGATCATCCTGTCCAGTTCTTGATGGAGCACCACAACTTTCTATAGGGAGGTTGCACGACTGCTTCGTATCTCTTGAAGGTTCCTCCTTATTTTGAGTTTGGGCCTCTTTTTTAAAGCTTCCACCTGTTGATTCTTGTCCTACCCTTGGGCATTATGGAGAATAAAGCCATGTCTTCTTCCCTGGGATGGTCCTTCAAGAATTGGAAGAGTGCTGTGGTGTCACCTTCAACCTTCAACCTTTTCTTCTTAGGCTGGACAGACTCAGCTCTTTTAACCATCCTTTGAATTGGTTCTGTGTTTGGGATGTGAGGAAGGGTATTCTACTGGCCCCTTCTTCCCTGTAGACCTGGGATGTCCAACCTTGATCGCTTGAAGAGCTGTGGACTTCAACTCCCAGAATTCCTCAGCCAACATGGCTGGTTGGGGAATTCTGGAAGTTGAGGTCCACAAGTCTTCAAGTGGAGTTGAATTTGTGGAGCTGAAGTCCACAACAAGTGAACTTGTGGAGCTGAAGTCCACAGACTTCAAGTGGAGTTGAACTTTGTGGAGCTGAAGTCTACAAGACTTCAAGTGGAGTTGAACTTGTGCAGCTGAAGTCCACAAGTCTTCAAGTGGAGTTGAACATGTGGAGCTGAAGTCCACAAGATTTCAAGTGGAGTTGAACTTGTGGAACTGAAGTCCACAAGTCTTCAAGTGGAGTTGAACATGTGTAGCTGAAGTCCACAGGTCTTCAAGTGGAGTTGAACTTGTGGAGCTGAAGTCCACAAGATTTCAAGCGGAGTTGAACTTGTGAATCTGAAGTCCACAAATCTTCCAGTGGAGTTGAACATGGAGCTGAAGTCCACAAGTCTTCAAGTGACCAAGCTTGGATACCCTTGCTGTAGACCCTTCCTTAGACAGGCAGACAATAATGGGGTTCTCGTCCCACAGCTCCTTGTTGTCTCTTTCACAGCATCCAGTGTTTTTCTGATGAGAACCAGATGACCACCCACAACCTGGCCATCGTCTTCGGGCCAACGCTCTTCCAGACGGACGGCAAGGATTTCAAGGCTGGACAAGTGGTGGAAGACCTCATCAGATGCTACATGGAGATCTTCAGTGTAGGTTGGGCCAAGGATGATGGGCCAGCAGGCTTCGGCCTACCAGTCCAGCCCTGCAGAATCAGGGCTCTGATCAGAATCAAAGGAGATGGATGTTTGTACAGGAAGTCCTCAACTTATGACCGTTTTGGAGCTTGACCATCCTGGTTATAAGTCAGGACAGTGTCAAATGGCTCTGTCACATGACTGACCTGATTTGTTGCAACGGTTACTAAGTGAATCCGCAGTCACTGAGCTAATGACACGCTTGTTAAGCGGACCAATCCTTCGTTACAGTCAGTGCCAATTTTTGTCAAAACCGCGTTGTAAAACGCAAACACGTGATTGCAAATGGTTGTAAATATGGTGTTGTTGTCAAGCACCTGAAGTCTGGTCATGTGGCCACAGAGTGAGTGTGTGTGTGTGTGTGTGCGCGCGCGCGCACGTGTGCGCATACCCAATTATGGTCCATCCATTGTAACTTCAAATGATTTGCTAAATAACCAGTCGTGAGTTGAGAACTATCGGTAGAATTGACCCCAAAATTTCCGTTGCTAATCGAGACAGTTGTCAGAGCGTGCACAGTCTTACTGTGCTGAAGTAACCCAGGAGTAAATACAGTAAACAGTGGTTTGTATTAAAGCAGTGGTTCTCAACCGGTCATAAGTTGAGGACTACTCAACTGGTGCAGCACCGTTTGCAGAATGGGACTTTTGGCAGGCTCAGCAGGGCAGAGACAGCCTGGACAATTCCTGTTGGTTTTGAAAGCCAATAGAATTAGACTCTATTCAAGAGAATCTATTTTATTGGCTTTCAAAAGCCAATAGAATAAAAGGGAGGAGCACAGCTAAGGAAAAGGGGGAAAAAATGGCGGACTGCGTTGTTTGGCGACCCCCGTGAAATGGTCGTTCGACCCCAAATGGGGTCCCACCCACAGGTTGAGAACCACTGTATTAAAGGGTGGTTTATCACACACTATCTACAAATGTAACAAATATAACAAAACAAAATACAGGCCCGTGGTGTTACAGCAAACTCCAACATACAGCAATTACAGCAGGAAATGGAGGAGAGAGAGAGAGAGAGACTCTAGCAAAAAGCCTTCCCTTTTATACTCAAGCTCTTAAAGGGATACAGACTCCTGCTGAGTCACTCCTAACATTTCATCATTCATCTCACATTATACAAGCTGATGTGGGGGAGGCTGTCCAGGGGGGGGCAACGCCTTCGCCCCTTGGCCCCCCATCTCTTCCTTTCTTCTTCCGCCTGGCAGGTGGACGAGGAAGAGATGAGGAAGCAGCAGGAAGAAATCCAGGCCATCTTGAGGATGCGCATCGCAGGAACCTCCAGCGGCACCCAGGTGAGTTGAGTAACGGAAGCACAGAGTTGGAAGGGACCTTGGAGGTCATCTAGTCCAACCCCCTGCTCAGGCAGGAGACCCTATAGTACCGTTGCAAACAAGTCGCTGTCTAGTCTCTTCTTAAAAGCCTCCAGTGATGGAGCATACACAACTTCTGGAGGCAAGATGTTC